TCAATGAAATATAGAAAGTGCAAATTCTTAAGAATTTTCCCACATGTAGAAAGGATATGTCTGTACTGTACCAAACAAAATACAGCTTTCAACAAAAATCAGAGGCATGTGTGCTAAAAATTAAGAGAGGCATACATTATTATGTGAAATGCCTCAAAACATCTCTATCATTCCAAAGTAACTACAGTTTTTGAGACTGACAATTTCAGTACAATAACCTCAGCTGTATCAGTGTCTACATTCTGAAAGCCTGTTGTGTTAGACAAGGGTGTACCTATTAAAAAACAAGCTTGTCCCGGCAGTGGTGGCACACACCTTTAATTTCAGCACTCGGGAGGTAGAGGCAGGCAGATTTCTGTGAGTTTGAATACAGCCTGGTCTACAGGCTGTAGCATTGGAGCCTGTTCTGTAGACCAGGCTGGCCTTGAAGTCACAGAGATCCGACTGTCTCTGCTTCCCGAGTGCTGGGATTAAAGGCGGTGTGCCACCAATGCCTAGCTCAGAAACAAATATTTAAATGCAATATTTTGACAGCTATTGAGCAGAACAGTAGTAGAAGGGACTGGACTAAGTGGCTAGGATAGTCATACCTTGGTTTGTATAGCAATTCCCCATACCCCAGTCCTATTCCAACAAATGTACCAGTCTGACTGCTGTGGTCAGTGTTCCCTTCCAGCTGTCTCTAAAAGTGCACTGGCAGCACTGTGGCATGAATAAACAGAGTCATATAACCATGACAGCAGTGTGTCACAGATGGTGAACTCACATTCTGTGCTGAGATGCCTGACAGCTGCTATGTAGGCAAGCGGGTTTATTGAAGTTCAGCACCACACATAAGAGTGAGCAACTTCTGTTGATATTATATATATGCTATTCCCTAAGTGAGAAGTCATACAGCTAAGGGAACTGTAGGAAGAGATAAGAATGAGAACCCGGTGCAGACTGACTTCATCAACCTGGATCAGACTTCGGGGAGTCTAACACTAGGTGGTTTGTCGTCAGTATATTTAAGACACAGTATAATTTTTTTTGTTGTTTTTTGTTTTTTTGAGGCAGGTTTTCTCTGTGGCTTTGGAGACTGTCCTGGAACTAGCTCTTGCAGAACAGGCTGGTCTCGAACTCACAGAGATCCGCCTGCCTCTGCCTCCTGAGTGACACGGTACAATTTTGGAAAAGGTTTTCAGGCAACAATCAGCCCAATAAGTCCCATTCCAGGTACACAATAAAGCTTATGGCATGACTATATAGAGACCATGTGACCATGAGGATGCGCTCTATAGCTAGAAGGCCTAGAATCTAGTGTGGTCTCTGACAGTGTAGAGGTCAGCAGCCATGAAGTACACATGACATCTCCCCTAAGGATGGGTAACTGTTGAGGGAGGGAAGAGTCTCAGATAATCATTCTGGGGGATTTGGGTGATGTCTGCCTCTATTTCGAAAGATGGGCACGGTTTGCCACCACAGATAGCAAGGTCACCAGGCCATTAACAAAATCCACTCCTCAGCTTTCTGGATGGAATGCAGGTTATTTGATTTTTATCTTCTCCACTGAGAAGACACCCCTGCATTCCTGGTTCTCTTAGGTCTTCTCTGTGAGCACAAGGACCTCTGACTCAAGGAAACTCCAGATCCTTTGGCCTCCCAGAGCCTAGGGTCAAAACTGAACACAAAGAAACTCCAGACCTCCTGGCCCATCCCCACCCCAGCCTCTTAAATACTTGGTTTCTGGGAACTGTTTGGCCACAAAAGAAACTGCAGGGGAGACCAAAACCTCCCCTGTAGTCTCCAGAATATAGTTCTGAAAACTATTGGTATCTATGTACAACAGGCCACCAGCAAGTAACAAGACAATACCATAGAAAACACAGAATGTTCCCTCTCAGCACTGACCAATGAAAATAATTGGTACACAGGTATTTCATGCCGAAATATGACTTTGAGAAATTCTTCTAATTGTTCCCAAATGTCAACCAATCAGAAACCAACCCATAACTACTGATATAATCCTGTAACTTTTTTTGTCTTTAAAACCCAGCCTCCCTCTGGAGCCTGCTGTGTCAGCTTGCTAGAAGGAGTCCCTGTCATGGTTGGATGAACAATCATTAAAATCTTGCTTTTACAGTTGGTGGGTCTGTCTTCCTGGTTGTCTCTGGGGATCTTCACAACTTGGACACAACAATGTCAGTCCAAGTTCCCTCTCCCTCTCCTCTTCCCTGCCACCCACCAACCCCCTAATCCCATCCCCTTTCTGCTCCCCAGGGAGGGTGAGGCCTTCCATGGGGGATCTTCAAAGTCTGTCATATCATTTGGAGCAGGGACTAGGCCTTCCCCCATGTGTCTAGGCTGAGAGAGTATCCCTCTATGTGGAGTAGGCTCCCAAAGTCCATTTTTGTACTAGGGATAAAAATACTGATCCCCTACCAGACCTCCAAACTGACATCCTCATTCAGGAGTTCTGGAACAGTCCTATGCTGGTTTTCCAGCTATTAGTTTGGGGGTACATGAGCAACCCTTTGTCAGGTTAGCTGTTTCTGTGGGTTTCTTCAGCCTGGTCTTCACCCCTTTGTTCATCACTCTTTCCTCTCTGCAACTGGATTCCAGAGTTCAGCTCAGTGTTTAGCTGTGGGTGTCGTGTCTGCCTCTGCTTCCATTAGCCACTGGATGAAGTCTCTAGGATGGCATATGAGGTAGTCGTCCATCTCATTATCAGAGAAGGGCTTTTAAGGTAGCCTCTCAGACTATTGCTTAGATTGTTAGTTGGGGTCAACCATGTAGATTTCTGGGCATTTCCCTCATGCCAGAATTCTCTTTAAACCTATAATGGCTCCCTCTATTATGGTATTTCTTTTCTTGCTCTCCTCTATTCTTCCTGACTTGATCTTCCTGCTCTCTCCTGTTCTTCTCTTCCTGCTTCTTCTCCCCCTTCTCTTTCTTCTAACTTGGCTATGCTTTCAAGTCAATAGGTATTCTAGGCCTCTGATGGCTGTGGGCCACTTCTGTTACCTACTTCTGCTCCAGATCCTCTCAGAGCACAGCCAGACATTATCTAACATAGAACAAAATTGATTGCTCCATGGCAGCATTCCTACCAAGACATCTATCAACCATTATAAACGACATGAATGAGCAAAGTACACGCTGTACAGATGTAAAAAGATAAAAACGAAACACCTCATTTTGTAATTAAGAAATATGTAAGTAATTAAAAATATTTTGAATTAGGAGCTGGAGAAATGGTTTAGCAGTTATGAGCACTAGCTGCTCTTCTAGATGACCCGGATTCAATTCCCAGCACCCACATGGTGGCTCATGACTAACTGTCTATAACTCTATAACTCCTGTTCCAGGGGAACCAACAGCTTCAAACAGGCATACATGCAGGCAAAATACCAATGTACAAAAAATATAATAAATGAAATTATATAAATATGAATTACTAGCCAGGTGTGAGAGTGTATGCCTCTAATCCTAGCCCCCAGGAGGCAGAGGCAGGCAGATCTCTAAGTTGGAGGCCAGCCTGGTCTACAGAGCAACTTCCAGGACAGCCAGGACTACAAAGAGAAACCCTGTTTCAAAAAAAGCAAAGAATAATAGAAATAGAAAATAGAATGATAGGTCTCGCATATAATCTGCTGCCTGAACTGAAGCACATTCAGACTGGTTCCTTCCAGGGACCACAGGGGAAATGAAAACTGCTGGAAGTCTTGGTTGTAGTTGCTCCCATTGGGTTGGGTACAAGGAGCATATATATTAGGCTACAGGGAAAATGAGGGAGCAATAGTCACATGACTTCCACCTGCTCTTAATCACTCAAACCAAGACACCTGGAGGTAAAACGGTGGCACACTGACTCAGCAGCACCTGTTAAACAGTAAAAACATTTTAAATCTTTGGAGGCTGACATGGGCTCAGCGAGTAATATGCAGTAATAAATACCTGGGAAACTAAGATTCCAAAAACTCTGCCTCTGAAACAAAAGGAAATCACAACTCAACTGTCATCCGGACGAGGATGACCACGGTTCTTATCTTCCTCACGTTTTCACAAAACTGATACCCACAAACAACATGGTAGCTAGCCCCAGCTCCCTCTGGGAGTCTGAAAATACGGAGACAAGTTTTATGGGCTTGGTGTGTGTTTGTGAAGTAGCCTCAACCGGGAGCATCTCAGGAGAATAGCTCACGAGAAAGTATGGACCTGTGGGAGCTTCAATGACATCTCTACCTCATGCCCAGTAGGGACCCCAGTAGTTCCAAGTTTCCAGTGGTCAGGTAGACTTGGCAGCACTGCTAACAGAAGCAGAGTGGAGCTCAGGCCAGAGGATTCCTCTAGGAATCAGGGAGACATGAAAACCTTGCCAGATATCATTATATTACAGTTAAAAATGTTTTAACCTTAACCGGAAGACACCTACAGAGGAAATAGCAGTTTAGATTGAGAGAAGAAATTCATGCATGCATGAATTAGGAACCTAGAAACAAATGAAATTTGTCAAACTTGTTATGTGTTTCAATAACCTCTTCTGCCGTCTACGGCCATATCACCTTGAACGCGCACGAACTCCTCTGATTTCGGAAGCTAAGCAGAGTCGGATGGGAGACCCACTGGGAATACCGGGCGCTGTAGGTATTTTTTGCCGGGTGGTGGTGGCACACACGTAAAACATGGCACAGCTACGTGAAGGATTTCTAAAGGCAACAGTTCAAAGCTGGAGAAGACAAGAGATAGCGGGGGTGGGGTGGGGCACCCTGCTAGCCCTCTCTGAGCCCACGTCTTTGAAAATAACACGGAATTAACTAGAGCGCTGGAGGTGAGTTAAGTCAAGTCACCAAATTAAATTCTCAGGGTCAGCAGTATGCTGGGCAGGCCTAGGATGCTGACTGTCTGAAGACTCCACAAGATACAGGTCCCCTCACCCCCAGCTATGTCCCTAGCCCACCTACTTACATTACTCGCTTAGGCTGGGGGCGTGGCACACACAAGGGGCGTGGCCGGACCGCATATTGTAAAGTGCGGCAGGCAGCCAGGCACCGCAGTATCTGGTGCCTGCGGTCTGTGGGTGTCAGTATGGGACTCCATACTACTGAACATCACGCGGAGCAGAAGAGTCAAATGCGAAACCGTCCTTCGAAGAAGCTGCTCAGCGCCCCTCCTGCGTCCCCGCGGCTTCACGTGCGGCCCTGGTGGTTCCCAGTGCACGAACTCAGTGATCCTGTCGTGATGTACCTGGATGCCTGGCTGGCAGAAATAATCTTTGGTGAGCCTCTCCTCACAGGGGTCTGGGTTAGCTCCCTGTATTCTATAGGGGCAGCAAGCCCATACCTCATTCCCCAGCCCAATCAATCCCATCAGAGCCTGCCCCTTCCCACCTGAAGCCGTTCTACTTACTGCTTAGACTCTCTTTTATATTTAGGCCCAAACCAAGCCTTAATCTCCGAAATAGAGTGGATAAGCCAGGCTTTGGTGAGAGTGGACACGATTGACTCTGGGAACTTAGCTGAAATCACCATATTTGGACGACCCTTCGTAAAGAATCGATTGAAAAACATTATCTTGAACCTGGCAGTATGGCACAAAGAACAGCACGCCCAAAAAGGTAAGGGACTTTTGAAGACCCTTTGAAGCCTCCGAAGCCATGGGACAATTCCCAGCTTCTGGAAACTTTCTCGAAACTTCTTGCAGTTTCCAAACACCAGGCAACTGGAGAGTCCCTGGGATCCATTTCGGAGGAGACCCTTGAGAACGGAAGGACAGGCCAGACACACCCAGACCCATCACCGGCAGCTCAACCTTAGGCACCACTTCCCAGAGTCCAGGTCAGGACCCCTTCTCTTTAATACTAGGCCAGAGCCGCCTCTCCCAATCAGGGGGAGTAGATACCATTTCCCTTCTTGACTGTTAGTGTTGACCCTCTTTCAGCTTACAAGATGAAATAACTTGAGGAATTTTTGAAGACCCTTCCCTCCAACTCAAGCAACCTGCCTGAGCCGGTGCAGGAGGCACTTGCTGACTGACTGGCAGCCCAACTTCAGCCCCTGGAGGTGAAGAGGAACATAGATTCTTGCACTTGTTTTCTTTCCTGCCTTCGTGGATATCTGTCTTCCTTTGCAAATAGCGGTTTGTAAGAACTATTCCAGTACAGGAATAACTTTGTTTTCATCACATACAATAAAGTAAACTTAAAAGCATCAGTTATCATTGATGTGAGGTGTGTATAGGTTGTACTCCTACAATTCCTAATACACAGCTTCAGTCCGGCCCTGAAGGAGAACTTTATTATGTGCAGTGGTATTTTGCTTGTAGATATGTCTGTGTGAGGGGTGGGTACAGACAGGTATGAGCTGCCATGTGGGCTCTGGGAATTGAACCCAGGTCTTCTGGGTGCTCTTAACTGAGTTATCTCTCCAGCTCCAACCCTTTTTACAAGCCCCTGCCCTGACCTGTGGGACATTCAACATATGGGGGCTGAAGGGCACCTAGGAGAAAGATGGCGGACAGGAGATATGAAGAAAGACGCCAAGATAGGATTCTGATCAAGACAACAGCTTTATTTCATCCCAAAGGGATTTCTATAGGGGAAGGGAGGAGGAGAAGGAATGGGAGATGTGCTGCAGCTGCAATGAGTCTGGCAGAGCAAAGATCAGTGGGAGGGGTAGGGCATCCTGTGTTCTCTGGTAACCTAACTGCAGACTCTAACTTTATCTTTCACAATCTACCTCCTATTGTTCAAGCCTACACCCTAGTGACTAGGCAGGTAAAAGCCACAGGTCTGTTTTCTGGAAACTTGTTTCCTATCTTGAGAGGTGGCATTTCAGCAATGTGACCTGGAGTCACATCTCTATGAGGAGGGCATGATAAAGCTGTGACTGAATTATGGTGAAGGCCCCCCCAGCCCCTCCCCTCAGGCGGGATTTCTAGGTGTAACAGTCCTGGCTTTCCCCCCAGGCAGGATTTCTCGGTGTCCTGGCTTCCTGGAACTCTAATTTGTTTTTTGTTTTTGTTTTTGTTTTTACGAGACAGGGTTTCTCTGTATTGTTTAGGAGGCTATCGGTCCAGCCCGGCCTCGAACTCACAGAGATCCACCTGCCTCTGCCTCCCGAGTGCTGGGATTAAAGGCGTGCGCCACCAACGCCCGGCTGGAACTCTTAATTTGTAAGCCAGGCTGGTTTCACAGTGCCACCACTGCCAGACCACTGTGTGCTTTTTACCTGTTTTTTTTTTTTTTAAAGAACCTGCTGGCTGTTTCCCCTCCTTCCTCAAGTCCCTCTCCCTGCCCCCTTCCCAGGCGCTGTTTCTATTCAGAGAAGGGTAGGCACGGATACCAATCAAACATGGTATATCAAGGTGAAGGTTGGATAAAGCAATCCAGTATAAGGAATAGGGTCCCCAAAGTGGACACGAGTCAGGGACTGCACAACTGTAACATGCATGGTCCCTTTGCAGTGCCCAGGTCAGTCCCATGCAGGCTCCCTGACTGTCCATTCAGTCTCCGTGAGCCCAGGTTAGTTGATTCTGTGGGTTTTCTTGTGTCCTCCTTGACCCTTCTGGCTCCTATAATCCTTCCCCTCTTCTGCAGGAGTCCCAATCACCTAGTTGATTTAAGGCAGCGGTTCACAACCTGTGAGTGGAAACCTTTTTGTGGGTTGAATATCAGATAATTTACACATCAGGTAGGTTTAGATTCATAACTAGCAAAATTAGTTAATGAAGTAGCAACAAACTCATTTTATGGTTGGATGTCAACACAGCAGGAACTGTATTAAAGGGTTGCAGCATTAGGAAGGTTGAGAACCACTGATTTAAGGTGTGCAAGAATTCACTTTGGGAGTCCTCAAAACAATGTCTTAGGCCCCTTCTCCAGGGATTCCTGGTGAAGGGATACTTTGATTTGCATTTCTAACAAGCTCAGTCTGTTGAAACACCCTTTAGGCCAATCATCTGTAGCTGCCCTTTAAGCTTGGAGGTCCTCAGGTGTGTATGGCTCAGGAAGTTGTCCAATCATGAGGATGCCTGCGATGTTAAACATCACAAAAAACCCAGTTACTGTGCCTTGAGCAGACTGAGAATTGGCCTGGAGTTGTAGTAAGAGCTCTAGGTTGCAGCTTTCCTGTCTCCTGTGTTGGGCAGCCATGCTGCAGATGTTTTTGAGTCACCACTGCTCCTGTAAGCCACCTTACCCATACTCCTGTAACTCCAATGAAAGTCATTGGTTCACCAGTCAGGACCTGCAGGCAGTAATGACTTAGTCTGTCATGGGTTCCCTTTCTGCAGTGAGTGGACTGTTCTGTGTCACCCTAGGAGAAGTCTTTCTCACAGCATCCTGATGTCTGTAATGTGGCATGTATGTTCTTCATGGGCCATGACACTTTTTTTTTTCTCCAGACAGGGTTTCTCTATATTGCTTTGGAGGCTGTCCTGGCACTCGTTCTGTAGACCAGGCTAGCCTCGACCTCACAGAGATCCACCTGCCTCTGCCTCCCGAGTGCTGGGATTAAAGGCGTGCGCCACCACGCCCGGCCATGACACTACTCTTGCTGTTACCACTTTAAAGAAGTGGGGTTTCTGGTATAGAAAGTGCATGAGGCATGGCTTGGGGACTGTAACCTTGGGGAAACAGAGGCAAGCAGATTTCTGTGAGTTCAAGCCTGGACACCAAACCTAGTGATCAACAACTTCATTTTGGAATCTAACTCCCAGAATTAAAGAGATGAATTTCTGTTGTTTAAGCCATCTACTTTGTGTTACTTTGTTGTGATAACCAAAGTTTTTTTTTTTTCCATTTTATTCATGACAGGGTTTCTCTGTGTAGCTTTGGAGCCTGTTGTGAACTAGCTCTTGTAGACCAGGCTGATCTTGAACCCACGGAGATCCACCTGCCTCTGCCTCCCGAGTGCTGGGTTTAAAGGCATGCACCACCACCGCCTGGCTCAATGTTAGGTTTTTGTGAGCTTTATAACATATTTTGTGTATGAGAGTGTGTGTACATTACTGTGCACATGTACCTGTACAGATGGGCATGGAGAGTCCAGAGGTCATTACTGGTTGTCTTCCTCAAGATCTTTCCACCTTAAAAAAATCCCAGAGTCTCACTATGTGAGGCCTTGGATGTCCTAGAGCTTGATAATGTAAAGCAGACTGGCCTCAAACTTGGAGATCTTACTGCCTCTGCCTCCTGAATGCTGGGGTTAAAGGAGGGACCATCACACTAAGCTGTCTTTATTTTTTTCCCCTCCAGACAGGATTTCTCCTTGTAATTTTTGGCTGTCCTGGAACTCACTCTGCAGACCAGGCAGGCCTCAAACTCACAGAGATCTGCCTGCCTCTGCCTCCAGAGTGCTGGGATTAAAGGTGTATACCACCACTCCCAGCTTTCTTTTTTTTTTTTTTTTTTTTTTTGAGTCGGGGTCTCTGTCAACCCTAGACCTTGCCTGTTAGGCTGGTCAGTCTGGTCAGTGAGCACCAAGGCCCTCTTTCTTGTCTCTACATTTTCAACACTATGATTACAGGCAGGACATGAATGCCCTGCTTTTTAAGTCAACACTGGAAACAAACTCGGGTTCCTTGAGTTTCAGCAAGTGCTGTGCCCAGCCTCATTCTGTTAGTCCCCTTCACCCTAGGTGGGGATGCGGGATTGAAGCATACCCACTCTGGAACTTGATATACTTGATATATGGCAAAGAATGGCTTTATATTCCTGATCCTCCAACTTCTACCTCCCCAGACTCGAATGAGAAGTATGCATCATCATGTCTGTTCTACCCTGAGGGTATTTAAATAGTGAGGCTGGGCCAAGTTGGTAATCTCGGCACTCAGGAAGCAGAGGCAGGTGCATCTCTGAGTTCAAGGCCAGCCAGGTCTACGGAGTGAGTTCCAGAACATCTAGGGATACAAAGAGAAACTCTGGCTGGGCAGTGATGGCACATGCCTTTAGTTCCAGCACTCTGGAGGCAGAGGTAGGTGAATCTGTGTATCTTTCATTTGGAGGCCAACCTGGTCTACAGAGTGAGTTCCAGGACAGCCAAGTGTACACAGAGAAACCCTGTCTCGAAAAACCAAACCATAGAGTGCTCTATTGTTCTCTTCTTCACTTTTAAAGGCCCATATCCATTACATGTTAGCTTTATGCCAAGCACCTAAGCGGGATGCTTTGAATGTAAACTCTTGACTCAGTTCCCAGAGCTGGGACAGCAGCAGGAGGGCATAATTTGTGGAGGAACAAGTACGACAGTGTAATCGGTCTGAAGGATGATACAAAGGACAGAGAAGGACACAGGCTATCACACGTGCTGAAATGGGTTTGCTAAACTATGGCCAAATCGACCAACTACACAAACACACACTCTTCTGCTACTACATTTCCCGTGTAAGTTACAGAGCTGCAAAGCCCTTTTAAACTATGCTTGCTGGTTGAAATCCAGGTTTTGAACCCAAAACAACTCAAGACATGTGAGTAGAATAACCACAGCTTGGAAGAGGTTTCCAAGGAGTGACTCGGTGCTGCTCTATCCAGAGGCCAGGTGCACTGGGCTCTGGCAGCATCCGGAAAGCACCTGAGCTACAGGGTTCCTAGTTAAGGGTTTGGTGGTGGTGGCTAGGTCCCACCTGCCCCAGGGAAGACAGTAGCAAAGTTCAAGAGCACTTGGCTGCGGGAGCAAATGCTCCCTATCTTTCTTCCTTGCAGGTAACAGACTATTAGCCATTCTTGTTTGAACATTTTCAGCTCATGTTTCCAAACATTAAGCACTAAGGGGAGAATCAAAACCAGTGGACTCCACTTTTCACAATGCCTAGGGCAGAAACAGAAGTATAAGAAATGAGTGCTGGATAGCCAGGCATTGGTGGCACATGCCTTTAATCCCAGCACTCGGGAGGCAGAGGCAGGCGGATCTCTGTGAGTTCGAGGCCAGCCTGGTCTACAGAGCAAGTTCCAGGACAGCCTCCAAAACAATACAGAGAAACCCTGTTTCGAAAAACCAAAAAAAAAAAAAACAAAAAAACAAAACTGCTGGAGATTGCCACAGGTCAAAAGAGAGCTGGGCTCCACTCTCATGGACTCCCTGGAAAACTTGCAGAGTGGCAGCTTCTGGGAACTACAAGGAGTGTGTTTGGTGGTGACCTCAAGGACCGCATGAATATCTCAGGGTTTCTTTTGCTGTGATAAAATACCAAGACCAAACTAACTTGAGTGGACACTCTGGGAGCTGATACAGAGACCATGGAGGAGTGCTGCTTACTGGCTTGCTCTTCACGGCTCGGTCAGCTTGTTTTGTTATACACCCACTCCATGATCACCTGCCCAGAGCTGACACCACCCACAGGGACTGAGCTCACCTACATCAATCACTAATTAAGAAAATGCACCACAGACTTGCCTACGGGAAATCTTACGAAGGCATCTATTGCGAGTTCTTCTTCCCAGATGGCTCCAGTTTGTGTCAAATTTACATAAAACTATCCAGGATGAATGGAAGAACTCTGTCTCAGCCCGATGAGCCAGGGGAGTAGTGTGAGGGGACGTGAAAGATGTCTCAGAACTTAAGAGCATTTGCTTTGTCTTGTTAGAGTACCCAGGTTCAGTTCCCAACAATTCCATGGCCACTCAAAATCAAACACCAGTTCTGGGGGATCTAAAGCTCTCTTCTGGCCTCTGTGGCCACAGGCATGAATGTGGTGAAGAGAAATATGTGCAGGCCAAACACTCAAGGGCATGGGAGGAAAAAAAAGCAGTGTTGGTTGGCCTCATTGTGTCAGCATTCCTTGGCCACAAAAAGTCTACCCTGTTAGCTCCAGGGCAAAGAGCCAAGGATTCCCAAATACAGCCATTTGTCTTTCCAGATCCTTCCCCCAACTCAGCCTTTCCTAGGAGGGTATTTCCAAAGGAGCTAAGACTGGCTGGTACTTTGTACTGGGTGGTTTGTAGACATGGTCAGCTAAGCTCAATGTGTCTTGTGGTAACAAGGCAGCCCTGGTACCAAGGTTTCAGACTTCAGGGTTCCTGTACTCACCTTGAAGCATCGTATGTAACACTAGTCATACAGTATATCCTCTGCTTTTATCTGAACAGGAAGGAGGGAGGACAGAGAGTGGGTGGCTTCACAGACCTTGGGGAGCTGAGATGGGGAGAGGGAGGATGGCATGAAAATTGGGCCCCAGTCACTGGAGAGGCTTTCATGGGGGAACATGCCCCAGTGGTCCGAGTATTCGTAGTGTCAGGGGCCTCTGCCTCCTCCTTGTCCACCCAGCAAGCATCACATCCACCCGTTAATCTCGGTGACACACTTCTGGACTCTTTGGGTACTAAGTATAGAACCTGTTGGACAGCTGGCAAAAGTCTCCGAGCACCTGAAATAATGTCCCTTCTTATTGCTGAAGTTAGCCTTTTTGAGGCCTCTTGAGAATGACCCTGTGCTAGAGCAAAAACAGAGGCCCAGATTGATGGCCCAGGCCTGTAATTCTAATCCCAGCACTGGGGAGGTGGGGATAGGAAGAGCTTTAGCTACAGAGGGAGTTAGGCCAGCCCAGCAGCATGAGTTACATGAGCTCCTGTTACAACCACACACACCCAGAGTCTGCATGATTGCCTTTTATACTTTATTTAAAACTGAAGAGTAAAGCCGGCGTTGGTGGCACACACCTTCAATCCCAGCACTCAGGAGGCAGAGACAGGTGGATCCCTGTGAGTTTGAGGCCAGCCTGGTCTACAGAGCAAGTTCCAGGACAGCCTCCAAAGCAATACAGAGAAACCATGTCTCAAAAAACCAAAAAGAAAACAAAAAAAAAAAAAAAAAGAGAGAGCTGGGAATGAAGATTTAGAAATTATTTTTGTTTTGTTTTTTTCATGCCACCATGGCTCAAAGATTTAGAAATTATGAGGGAGGAGTGATGAGCAAAGGGTTCAAGATCAGACTGGTGAAACCCACAGAAATAGCTAACCTGAACAAGGGGGAACTCATGGACCCCAGATTGATGGCTGAAAGGCCAGCATAGGACTGATCCAGATCCCCTGAACGTGGGTGTCAGTGAGGAGGCCTTGGCAATCTATGGGGCCTGGGATAGATCAGTATTTATCCCTGGCATACAAATGGACTTTGGGAGCCCATTCCACATGGAGGGATGCTCTCTCAGCCTGGACACATGAGGGAGGGCCTAGGCCCACCCTGGATGATATGTCAGACTTTGGGGATGCCCCAAGGAGGGCCTCACCCTCCCTGGGGAGTGGAGTGGGGATTGGGTGGGGGGCTGGGGATGAGAGAGGAGGGGAGAGAGAGGGAACTGGGATTGACATGTGAAGCAAGCTTGTTTCTAATTTAAATTTAAAAAAGAAATTATAGGGAATGTTCTCAGTGGGGAGATGGGTTAGGCACTCTACCTTAAAGTTTCTTTTTATTAGCTACCTGGTGCTATATGATACTTCCCTTTTCTCTTCCATTAAAAATTTCAAGGGACTGGGCCTTGTGGCCCACGCCTTTAATGCCAGTGCTCAGGAGGCAGAAGCAGGATCAGAGGCAATCTCTGAGTTCTAGGCCAGCCTGGTTTAGAGTGAGTTCCAGGACAGCCAAAGCTACACACAGAAACCCTGTCTTGAAAATAACATAAATTTCAAAGATTGGGCAAGATGGTTCAATGGGTATAGACACTTGTCCCCATTCTGACTACTCCAGTTCAAGTACCAAGACCCACATTGTGGATGGAGAAGAGAACCAGCTTCTAAATTGTCCTCTGACCTCCTCCACACTGGGTATGTGCACACACTTCAGCTGTTAGCCTTCAAACCTGGGACAAATGGCTGAAGAGCCCATTTAACATATGAAAGTGGATCCCTTAGTACCAACCAGTTATAGGGTATGATTGCCATACCCCATCCACTACCCTAAACTTCTCCAGCCCAGGGGCTGGGCTGCCCTTTCCCATGTAATCCAGCCATTTTGGTTACCTGGCTTTTCTTGTCTACTCTCTTGACCAGTGTCTTGGCCCAGGCTAGTCTTCTTAGCAGCTGATTTTCCCCCTCTCCTAAGGGATATGTCCACTCTGGACTCTCCCAATGTCCCTGCCTCTGGCTATGCTCTCCACGCCTACAGTAAGCATTCTCTATCACACCTAGGAGCAGTCATATATTTCCCTTTTTATTTTATTTTTTTCATTCAGTAACCTCTACACACACACAATTTTTGTTTGTTTGTTTGTTTGTTTGTTTGTTTGTTTGTTGTTTCGAGGCAGGGTTTCTCTGTGTAGCTTTGGAGCCTATCCTGGCTCTGTAGCCCAGGCTGGCCTTGAACTCACAGAGATCCACCTGCCTCTGCCTCCTGAGTACTGGGATTAAAGGCGTTCACCACCAACACCCGGTGCACAAAATACTTAAAAAAGAGTGAAAGCTACAAGAGGGTTGAGAGTATTCATACTTGGTTTTACGCTGGAGAGATGGCATCTTTCAGATGATCCAAATTTTGGTCCTTAGTTCCTATGTAATCCTCCATCTCCAGGGACTCTGACCTCTGGCCTCCATAATTACCTAAGCTCTCATGCACATACACCCACACAGCATTCTTAACCACTGAGCCCCTCTTTCTTGTTGTTGAGGGGGAAGGTCTCACAGCATTGCTCAGTCTAGCTTTGAACTCAGGCTCCTCCTACCTCAGCCTCCCCAGTGCTTATTCCAACCACTCTGCAGAAATTTCTACACAACTTTGTGCTATAGTCTATATTTTTCCCCATTGTATTGAAATAGTCTTAAGTCAAGAATACCTGCAAAGCATTTTACTGTCCCTTTTGTCTGCTAATAAAAGGTCTCTGACTCCCTTTGTTTATATCACAATTGATAAACCATTTGTTCCTTTGTCTCAATGCCTCTATTGTAAAGCAATGTCCTAGGACTTTCAGACCTTCATCCAACAGTTTTTAGCTATTGGCGATCATTTTCTAACTTTTTTTTTCTGGGACAGGGTTTCTCTGTGTAGCTTTAGAGCCTGTCCTGGAACTCACAGAGATCCGCCTGCCTCTGCCTCCCGAGTGCTGGGATTAAAGGCGTGCGCCACCAACGCCCAGCTCGTGGGGACCCTTTAAAGGCACCGTAAGCTTTTAGTGAAAAGAATTTTGTTTTCATTTTTGTTATGACAAGAATTGTAGTTGACTTCTTGGAAGTTGCTCAGGTACCACACAAAATGACGCTCCAGGATCTGATTCCTTTGGGATGGGGAAAACCATAGTCTCTTAGAAGTCTTCGACCTTCCAGTGTGGGTCACCACTTCTCGGGGTCAGGCCCAATCAATTATTTCCCAGAGGAAGGCCCCTGGACTTGAAAGAACGAGGCAGTACAGGCAACAACTCTAGTTAGCTTGGGGCAGATGGGCAGGGCAGGGTGGTGATCTGGCATGGTCTTCTAGGGGCACAGCCTGAGGGTGTGAATCTGAGTGAATCTGAGATTGGGCCCCGAAGGGGGCGGGTCCTAGTGGGTGTGGTCTAGCCAGCCACAGCCCCCACAGGTGCTAAGCTTCTTGAATGCTGGAGCTGCGGGGCCTCAATGTTAGGCTTGAACTAGTCTTCCCTGGAAACTGATTGCTTGCGAGGAACCGAGATGGCCACCTATCCAACCCGTCAAGATATCCCTCCGTGGCTGAAAATTCCTGAAGATCTGAAAGATCCAGAAATATTCCAAGTCCAGACGCTGCTGCTAAAATATCTGTTTGGTGAGTGGCAAGTCTTGACCCGGCTGCTCAGCTCAGGCCTAGGCTCCCTGGCCTGAGCTCATTTCCTTCCTCCAACAGGACCACAGGGATCTCGAATCCCTCACATAGAGCGGGTGAGTCAGGCCATGATAGAAATGAAGGCTCTGGAATCTTCCGAACTGACTGAGGTCTTAGTTTACGGCTCTTACGAACACAAGCTTCGGGCCAAATGGATGCTTCAGTCCATGGCTGAAAGGTGCCGCCTGCGCCAGGAGAGAGGTGAGACTCTAAAGGTGCTCTGAACCTCGGCTTGGTTGGGTAGCCTCACCCCTCCACCACGCTTACCTCTCCTCTAGCCTCTCCACTGCCTTCATACCTCTAAGGGTAGCTTGCTTTAGACATTACCAGGGACCCCCTTGGTCTCTGGGCTGTCTCTGAGAATCTGTTTGTGGTTCCGGGCTCCAGAGGTGAGTCTAAGGTAAGAAGGGATTGGGACTGGTCCCTCTGGGCAGGGTTGTTCCACGCCACCCCCATCTGTGTCTAGGGGAATGTTAGAACTGGACCAGGGGTGTCTGCTTCCAGACCCAGAATTCGGGCCTCTAAGTCCACAAAAAGATACTGAAAGAGGCAGTGATCCTGAGGGTTCCTATTGTTCCACAACACTTAATCCTCCTGTTGGTGTTTCTCATGCAGGAATGCTCAGGCTGGAGGAAGCCATGAAGACCCTGGAATTAGACCAGTGTTTGGAGTGAAGCCAGTTTCCAGTCAATGTGACAGATAGACCGTGGCCAGTATTGGAGCAATTCTGATGTGGTTTTTAACTTTGTTACATCCTTTGCAGTCTAAGAGGTATTTCTGGACCCCTGCTTTGCAATGAGTTCTGATGAGAACATCTCTTTCCTAGGTTGCTAATAAATATCAAAATTTAAATAGTCAAATAGTTTCTTGGCTCTGTATCTAATGTATGGAAGGTCACAATTTTCTATCGGATGCATCACGAAGGTGTGATCCTTATGGTTTGTCACTGCACTGAAATTCTAGGGAAGTAGGTACCATACTGTCTGGAACTCACCCAGAATATCATTAAGAACAATAGTTCCGCCGGGCATTGGTGGCACAGGCTTTAATCCCAGCTCTATGAAGACTGAAGCAGGCAGATCTCTGAATTCTAGGCCAGCCTGGTCTAAAGAGTGAGTGCCAGGACATGTTCCAAAGCTGCACAGAGAAACCCTGTCTCGAAAAACAGTAAGTTCTAAAAGGCAAAAATGTAAAATAATACTTGAATGCACTCCATCATTAAAAGCACGGAAGACTGAAGACCTTTTCCGGTGCACCTTTGTATCCTTGTAAATGCCTTGTTAGGCCCTAAGTAATCTCACCTGTGTGTACTAGGCTTAATTTCTGCTCCAGTTTTTTTCTTCCCTCCAGATACCAAGTTGTGTTACTTGAAGAACTTTTGCTTTTTGTTGTTGTTTTTTGTTTTTGTTTTTTAAGCGGGTCTGACCATGTAGCCCTGGTTGGCTTGGAAACGCCTTATATGGTAGATTAGGCTGTCCTTGAACTCACAGAGGCCCTCCTGCCCTTGCCTCCTGTGTCCTGGGAACAGGAAACACCAGAAGCTAGCTTAGCTCTTCAGTGATAAATCCTTTTTTTTTTTTTTTGGTGGGGGAGTTTAAGGCACGGTTTCTCTGGCTTTGGAGGCTGTCCTGGAACTCGCTCTGTCGACCAAGGTGGTCCTGAAGTCACAGAGATCCGCCTGCCTCTGCCTCCCGAATGCTGGGATTAAAGGCGTGTGCCACCACCGCCCAGCACCTCCTTATCTCTATTGGAAGCCCTTCCCTAAGGTTGGCTTTATTTTTCTTCTCTCCACAAACCTGACAGTGTTAGCATTTCTTTTTTTACCTTTAGGTAATTAAAAAAAGAGGCAATAGAATATAGTATGAAATAATTACGGAGTCTTTTTTGAGACAGGGCTTCTCTGTAACAGTCCTGGAACTCTCTTTGTAGACCAGGCTAGCCATGAATTCACTGAGATCTGCCTGCCTCTGCTGGGATTAAAGGCCACCACCGCCCTGCCAGACTGCCTATCTTTAAATCTTCCAGCATTGACTTCAGTCTTCAGTCTGTGTGTGAGGATAAGGCTTGCAGAGAGGAGCAGGTGAGTGACAGCTGTCCTGAGCGCCTCTGTCACATCAGGATATCTGATGCAACAGTGATCAATCAGATCACCATATACACATGTATTTGAATATATGACATTTATATTACCATTGAGAGATATACATCACCATATACAAACATATGCAAATATCTACATATAGACATTTGAATATTGAGATAAATCCACATGTATCTTAAGTATTATCATTAATATATACATTTTTTGTTCCTTTTGAGGCAGGTTCTTACTGTAGCACAGATTTCAAACATCAATCCTCCTGCATCAGCCTCTTGACTTGGGGTGATAGGAATTCAATAAATACTTTTTCCTTTTTTAATTATATTTTTAGTAGGTGTATATAGGTTTTGTATGTGCATATATAGGTACATATGTATGTACATTGCCAGAAGAGGGTGCTGGATCCCCTGGAAATAGGTGGTTATGAGCTTACCGTATGGGTGCTGGGGACTGAATCCAAGTCCTCTGCAAAAGCACAAGTGCTCTTAACCACTGACCCATCTCTCCAGCCCCACAATAAATACTGGGCTTTTTGGTTTTTTTTTTTTTTTTGTTTTGTTTTTTTTTCCTAGACAGGTTTCTTTGTGTAGCCCTGACTGTCCTGGAACTCACTTTGTAGATCAGGCTGGCCTCAAACTCACAGAGATCCACCTGTCTCTGCCTTCCAAATGCTAGGATTAAAGGTGTGTGTCACCACAGACTGGCCACAATAAATATTGCTAGTCTACAAGTAAGACTGTTCTTGTTTCCCATGCCCGAATGGACTAGACTTCTCTCATCTGGGTTCTGGAGGAGGGACTGTAGCCTGAACACCTCCTCCAAGGTTCCTATCATGGAATATTCAAGAACAATACCATAGATATGCTTTATACAGTTTTCTGGTGTCATTAGATGTCATACATCCTGTGGGTTCCCCAGAAAGATACATGTACATTTGGTTTTGGAAAGTACCAATCATTCACTAAATTAGCATTTTAAGTCTCTTCCTTGAGAATTCTGGCCTGATTTATAGACCATTCAGATATTATTAAGGAAATAAAAACTTAGGGTTTATTGTCTTTTAATATTATTTTAGATTTGAGTTTTAGTTTATGTGTATGAGTGGGGTTTTGTGTATGTGTGTGTGTATATGCCTGTGCATGGTGCTGGGGAGGTCAGAAAAGACATCAGATCTCCTGGAACTGGAGTTATGAGGCACCATGTGGGTGCTGGGAATCAAACCCAGGTCCTCTGTAAGCACAAGTGCTCATAATCACTGGGCCATCTCTCTAGGTCCTGTTTAAACTGGGCCTGGTGGTGGTACCTGCCTGTAATCCCAGCACCTGAAAGGTAGAGGCAGGAGGATCAGGAGTTTGAGGTCATTGTCAGCTACTTTTGGAAGCTAGCTTGGCTCCTGGAGACCCAGACTTCAAGCAAACATGAACAGGCTTGGCGGGGGATGGGGGGTGGGGGGAGGGAGGCAGGGGGGACAGGGGGGTGGGGGAGAGTGGTAGAGCTAATGAAGCATCCAGGAAGCTGTGGATTGGATTCGGCAGCGCTCCCCATATTCCACAAGGTGACACATGATACTTTCTCTTTCGGTTCTCCGAGATCCAGGTTTCTCTGTGTAGCTTTGGAACCTGCCCTGGGACTCTCTCTCATCTGCTTTCTGGGGATGGGAGAACAAGCAAACTGACCCTCCCACACACTACTTAGTTTTAAATTTACATACATCTGTTATTGTTTTTGAAGACAGGGTTTCTCTGAGTAGCTTTGTGGACCAAGCTGACCTTGAACTCCCGAGATCCACCTGCCTCTCCCTCCTGAGTTCTGGGATTAATTAAATTTGCATACTTCTGAAACAAACGCTACAGGACTAGGCGTATGGGGGGGGGGTAGGTGGTGTACTTTCCTGGAGTGCTAAAACCTTGGTTCAGTCCTCAGCACTGCAAAGGGGGAAAATCAGAAGCTTAAATGCAGCTGCATTCAAGCGGGTCAAAACCCTAGTGGGGACGGGGAGATGGCTCATCACGTCCAAGAGCTTGCTGTTAAGCCCTACTGCCTGAGTTCAATTCCCAGGACCCTCTTGGTAGAAGGAAAGAACTGACTTTCACAAGTCACATATGCCATGGTCCACACTTACCTTCCCCTCCATACAGACGTACACAGTCCACACATGCACACACATGCATAAATACAAAAATGATAGAAAATACTCCCTACTATCTATTTCATGTTCATTTTCTCACAGCAATGAAAATGTTTTATTTTCCTGTATACATTTCCAGGGGTTTAAAAAAAAATACTTACGTGTTGATTTACATGGGGGGGTGTGGTTAACTACTACAAATATGTAGAGATCAGAGGGCATCTTGCTGAAGCTGGAACTCTTCTTTCATGTGTAGGCTCTGGGGTTAAGACTCAGATAATCAGGCTGGGCAGCAAGTGCCTTTACCCACTGAAGCACCTTGCTTAACCTTGTTTGTGGTGTTGGAGATCGAAGCCAGGGCCTTGAGCCTGCTGCCAGGCCCGCGTGCTAGCACAGTTCATAGGACAGCAGCTTGGTTTTTGACCCCCTTTAGATAGCAATTTGCCCCTGGGAATTTAGCCTGCAGACACGTTGACAAAACAGCAGATTTTTCAATGAGTTCAATATACCTGGTAAAGACGAACCGTCCAGAGTATCCACTGGTCCTATGAGAGAACTAGTTAAATGGACTATTTGACGGAAGGGAAAGAAGACTATAATCTACACCACAAACAAGGCACAAACAGGAAAACCTCACACCCTTGCCAGCTGTTACGGTTTCTTCAGTGACAGTGGCAACAGGCTCACTCCCAGAAACAGTACAAGAGAAATCACTGTTCCCTCACTGACGCACCCAGGCAACCTTTTCCTTTCAGCTGGCAGGTGCTGTATTTTCTTCAGTGCTTTCTCTAGCATGGTGGAAAATATCAGATTAAAATGAAAGAAAGGGTGTTCGTGGTGCTGGGCAGTGGTGGCGCACGCTTTTAATCCCAGCACTCGGGAGGCAGAGGCAGGTGGATCTCTGAGTTCAAGGCCAGCCTGGACCACGGAGAGAGTTCCAGGACAGGTTCCAAGGCTACGGAAAAATCCTGTCTCAGAAAACGAAACAAAAAGTTCAATGGAAGAGTCTGGGAAGTAATAGCATAGTGGTTAGTTTATTATTTGAAATGACTCCTTAATTTGCAGATGGTGAAGAACTGTCATTATTATGGAAGGCTGCAAATGAAGAAACACCCCCTCCCCCAGCTTTCATTGTTGTGGAAATGAAAGGGGTCAAACCCTACTGTGAGCTAGAGTTGTTTGTGGGAGATGTGCAATGGGGAAGCTGACCGGTGGGGGCGGGGACAGGGGTGGGAGTGGGGGCGGGGGCGGGGGTGGGGGCGGCAGTGTCACTTCTATAATCAACACCTTGGGGAAAAGGGGGCTGGAAGATCTGAAGTTTATCTGGGGCTTTGCACGATGAAGGACACTCCCCCCCCCAAAAAAAGCCACCAAAAACTCAATACTACCCTCCTTAATAAAAGTCAAAGAAGCCTGGTGGTAGTGGTGGCGGTGGCAGCGGCGCATGCCTTAAACACTCAGGAGGCAGAGGCAGGTGGATCTCTTTGAGTTCTAGGCTACCCTGGTCTACAGAGTGAGTTCCAGGACAGCCAGTGCTGTTAAACAGACAAACCCTATCTCGAATCCTCCTCGCCCCCCAAAAGGCTAACAACAATAAGGATAACCAAGGCTAATTAGGAGCCTTGAACATGGT